GTTAATTTTTCTTTTCTAACATTACAAGGAAGTATCGAAATCTAAGTAAATAATGGAGGTGTTGTCCTTTGTACGCATCGCTCTAGCTTCGTTCAGCAGACCATTTGCTATCTTCTCTGCACTATTCTCTGTCCCTCTCATCTGGTACATTCGTTTTCAAACATATACACGACATGAGACCGAGCTTTTCATACATAACAAAAAGGTCTTGATGATTCATACATGTTTTACCTGAAGTACCAGCTGCACAGCTTTCTTCGGACTTACTACGTCCCATAACCCGTCACTGTAGAGTCATTTTTTTTCTTTTTACTTTGGTTTTTAGGATTATCGAAAAGAATGAGAATACCGGAAAAACTTGTTAAGTCAATGTTTCTTACCTAGCCAATACAGCAAACACATCTTTAGATTGATCGATATGCAGAGGCTCACTTATATATGGCTCTGCGCTGAAACGGCCGTCTTGCTGCTTTGGAAATTTGTCTCCAAGCATCCTTGCAAGGTTTATACCTGAAAACAATATCAAACCAGGTTTCAGCATTTTGTGATAGAGAGTCAGAATCACCTGAGTGTTTAATTAATTGAACTAATACCGAAGATCCGAGTCTCTCCATCTCTTAAGGATAGTCCTGCCTCTTGGATTCGTTTTCTCTCAGTCAAGCTAGTTACTCGATGATCTTCAGTCATTTGTATACATCTCCCATCAAGGCTGCCAAATGGATACCAAATTGTAATCGGCTAAAAATACTTAAAGGAGTTATATGTACGGGACCATCATTTCATGGGAGCAAAACAACTATTTGATAGGGTTGTGATTATTAATTAAAATCGGTACAAGGATAAATCATAGGGATAAACTCTCTTACTATTTCTGCAATGGAAAACAACAGTACTCTTATCTTTCAATATGTTTTTGTATTCAAGAAAGTTCTACTATGATGTGGAAAAACAAAACTCATAGATCTCTCATGTATGAATGTCAATTTACTCTACCATAAACCCTAGATTAGAAATAATCTATTGTTTCCAAAACAAGAGGTTTTCAACAAGAAAACTGCACTCACTCACGGTTCAGACCCGCAAGATCCTTGTTTCTAATCAGAGTAATCAAGTCCCCTCTGTCTTTCTACACCAAGAATTGCTGCTATAACTTTATACTCTGGTTAATGCAAGCTCAGCAACTGAGAATCTTAAGAGAGCAATATAATAGTTTGACATACTTGATAACACAGGCTGAATCCCCAAGATTGGCACATTGGGCGAATAAATTTTCGTCACCATCTTTCCAAACCAAGAGAACAGTAGCTGTACAACCCTGCATCGAACAACTAGTTCATGAAGTAGGAAGCAATGAAAAAATTCCAGCCAAGTTGTCAAGAAGAAAAACATGCAATCAAAGGAAACGGAACGAAAAGGAGAAGCTGCAGAACCTCATATAGGTGATCATCCAAGCGAGCTTCTGTTTTAGCAACCACATCCCTTAGGATGTCCGAAGCATCCCTTTGCGATAACACTTTCTCCTTCTTCAGCGAGTCTGATAAAATATTCGCCAGTACCTCAGGTATAATTCTGGAGAATAAGTTTAATTAGGTTAAATATTCAAGTACATAATTATCGTAGTTTGAGACAAAACTTCAAACTAAAGATGTTCCAGTTGTTAGTGAAGGCTCCTAACATATCGGGACTAGCCCGTTTACAAAACTTAACAGACCAAGTTTCAACAACGATTTTTGTTCCCGGCTGCAACTACGCCTGCCATAACTTGAGCACATTTGCATGGCTAATCACATGCAGCTAAATTTTTCCATCAAAAAGTTGATTAATAAATTAAGAAAAACTTAAAGACAAAATTAGAAAGGCGGATGCTGTTAGAAGTTTAAAGACAACCAACCGCAGCCTTCTTCAGGTTAGGAAATAGGTAAGAAACTGGATATCGTTGGTAGGTCAAAACCCAGAATAAAAATATCAAGGAGGATACTATTGAGGTGATCTATATTAAAAACAATGGCTCACTTAATAGCGGATTGAGCTGCCCCTGCTCCCCCATGTCCATCACAAACACAAAACACCCCAAACTGAGACAGTAAACATTTGGGATTTATGTTAGCAGAAGCAGTGAAATCTATCGTCGCACAAACAACTAAACATAACAAATAAAGGAAACCTTATTAGCCCCAGGAAGCGGCCACTTGTAATAACAAACATCTTCCATTGGAAGTTTCCTGCCTCCTCGACGTGCAGCCATGGGATCTGAGGCCAGACCAATTCTGAACGGTATCTGAAACTCATTCTGAGATGAAATACGGACCTTCCAAAGATGAAAAGAAATTGCATGAAAGATCAATTAAGAAAAACAAAAACATTATCTGCAAGTACCTTCAACCACTATGATGGACTTACATAGACCTTTGTAGTTGTTCCTAAAGTTATGATATCTTCACTTGCAAGCTCGACAGGGTCACCCCACTTTCGGCTGCCTACATGAGGATGACTAACTGACCGAGAGTTCAAGAGAGTTCCATTTAAGCTACCCCTGTCTACCAGTTCCCATTTCAATTTCTGAATTCAAAGCCAGGAAGGTGTGACGCACAGTGTAAGAAGTGACATACAGAAGAAGAATTAATGAAACTACATAGCTCCTTACAGTGGAGTTCCATGTTATTTGTGCATGCTTCCCTGAAACTTCTGAGTCCTTCAATACCAAATCAGCAGGAGAAACCCTTCCGAGGCTCACTGGTAGCTTAGAGGTACTTGTGGAGTGCACGGCATATTGAAGCCCAGTGGCAGGACCCGCAATGACTTCCAAGGACAGCCAACTTCCTGCACTTCTAACAGAAGATATGATATTTGTCTTACACGAATAACTGGGGAAATGAATGGAAGTTGTATTATAGACCCTCGTAAGCAAAAGAAAATAGATTACTTTGATCTTTCACAAGTCTCGGAAAAAGCTCAGTAAGATCACCCTTTTCCAGATCATGTCGCAGGTTTTGAATTCTGTTATTCTGCCAGTCATATGGTTGCACTTCTGCCAGAGTACCTTTTTCAGCTGGATGTTTAAGTGTTTGGCCCACCAAAGCATCGTCAGAAGGTTCAGAAATTACTTCTAGAACAAAGCTTTCACCTACATAATTTAGGGCAGATTAGTAAGGTCAAGAATGAGTAATGCATAGAGTTCATTATGCAAAGAGGATGTTTCTAATGCTAATCGTTCATTTCCATCAAGATAACAATGTAGACTCAATCCAATTTTTGCCAACTTGTCTTCACGAGAGCTGGAAAGGAAGGGAAGGAGACGGATGCCAAGACTTACCTTGGGTGAGCTGGGGAGATGTAGAAGGAAGCCTTTGTTTGTAAGCCCGCCCCTCAGTTAAGGATGAACGCAAAAGTCCTTCATTTTGGTAGCAAGCTCCCTCTAAATCATACTCCCTTGTTACCTCACTGGTTTGGCCTTGGATCAAATTTCCATAATCAGATACAAGGGGTCTCTGCAAATCCCCCACCTGCAAAGAATGACGCTGAAAGTATCAGGGTATGGCTGAAGCAAATAAGTCGTGTAAACTGGATGTTCTATGGCCCAAAAATGAGAAACTTCCCCAGCAAGGATTTCCAGATATAATAACATGTCGGATTTAGTTCGTATTCAATTTTAATATGTTATCCAGGAATTGCAAGCAAATGAAATCTACGCACTAATAGCAACACATATTAGATAGATGAGCTGTATTGTATTCCCCACCCCTCACAGAACTGAAAACGTTCTTTGCAACATTTCCACTTATTCCTCTTGTTACCCTCACCTTCATATTCCTCTTATCCCACCTATGACTAACATTGCCTAAAAAGATAAGCACCAAGTTCCAAATTCTGAAAATGAATCACCAAGTTCGCAAGCAGACTAACATGATTTCCCTACTTCCAGTGTCTGTCTAAACCCACATCAACAGTTTGAGCACAAACTTGAAACCCCTTACTGGGGCAAAATCTCTATTGATTACTCAATTAGACATGGACATTGCCATTGGGATTTTCTCGTAAAGAGACTTAGTGCAAATCGAGGAGGCACACTTATCATAACGCAGAACGAATCTATCAAACGGTGAGCTACAAAAGAACCTAACAAGGAGAGCATTCTGAAGTTTCCCCAATAGTGAAAACTCAATACCACATTCTCGTTTCCAAAAAGTCAAAATCAGATTGTTCAGAAGCAAACACAATCCTAGAAATCGACCACAATCGCAAGGAGCCAGGTTTGCCCAAATCAAACCAACACATGCCATTGGTGATCAAAACTCACGATTGATCACTTTTGGCAAGGATCGCCGCGAAATCGAGAGGTAAAGAAGAAGGAAGGAAGGTACCTTGAAGGTAGAAGAAAGACGGGAGGATCGGAAACGGGAAAAGAAGCGCCATGGTTTGCAGGCGAGAAGGATGATGAGGGAGATGAGAAGCAACATAAGAACCCCAATAATGAGAAGCATCTCTAACATCGCCATCGTCTTCGCTCTCTCTCGCTGCACCCCCTCTCTTCCAGATTGGTTCCCGAGAACCTCGCTTTGAATTTTTCTCTCTCTCTCTTTTTTGTTTCTTCCCCTTATTAATAATAATTTTTTTCTTCTTGTTACTGTCGTCTTCTGGTTTATTAACACTTTCTATAATTCTATTATTCTCTCCATAGACGTGTTACAAAGTAGTTGTGGTCGATTAATAAGTTCCTCTAAGTGAAAAGGATGTTCCTTACACAAAACTTTCAATATCTATCTATCTGGAGTATATTATAATAGTGGTATAATTTATTATAAAAAAATATTAAATTTGGAATCCGTATATATATATATATGGATTATTTAATATTTTATAATCTATATAAAAAATTAGTTACTTAGAAATAAAATTAAGAACGGTTACTTATGTATTTTAAGTCTTTCATTAATTGATTTTCAACTAATTTCATCACATATTTCCAAATATTAATTTTTCTATTCTTATTTGAACTATGTTTACTTTTTACTATTTTGCTATTTATATATCTATTTTTTCAAAAATCTTGATGAATTTCTTTTTATATTAATTATTTTTACTATTTTGCTATACATATATCTATTTTTTCAAAAATTTTGATGAACTTATTCTTATATTACTTATTTATACTCTTTTAATATTTTACAAACCCTTGAAAAAGAAACTAACAGAAAAATATAGGAACCAAAATCAAATCATTTGCAAAAGTAAAGAAAATAAGATTGATGAAATCGATGTGAAGCCATTCTAAAGAAATCTAATAA